ACCACCACCAGCACCTACACCAAGCACCAGGCACCACCACCACCCGCAGCGTGAGTGCACCACGCTCACCGTGACACGCAGCTCGAGCCGAAAAGACAAGAGGGAGGACGAAGAGGAGCCAAGAAAAGGAAGAAACCGAAGAACTGGAGGTACGAGAGATAGAGAAGAACGATGCGTGCGAGAACGGGGACAGATAGAGCGCGAAAGAGAGGCAGACAGAGCGAGAGGCAGAGGAAGATGGAGAAAGAATGAACGGACGAACGCGGGATGAGAAGAGGCGAAAGAGCGAGGCGAAACCGAAAGACGTGGAGAACCGATCGAACGACGAACGTACCGTTCGACGAACCGTCGTCTCCGACGGCACGTTCGGAGATAAGAGAAGAAAGAGGAGAACGGTACGGAGGCGCTTCGTTTCGGACGAAGCTCGGACCCTGAAGAAGAGCCGGCGACCCGCGAGGCACGCCGCCGTTCCCTCTCTTTCTCCGACTTCTCGTCTCTTCCCGAGACTACGTTACACGCTCCTCTTTCGATCGTGCTTTTCCCTCTTCCTCCGATCAACGGCTACGCACCGTCTCGCGTCTCGCCCTACCCTTCGCGTACGCGTATCGGCTCCTCTCGTTCATTCGCTTCGTTCAGTCGAGCCCTATTTTAAGAATAGCTTCACGTCCTCTCGCTGTTCGGCCGCGTCCGTTCCTCCACGCTTCCGTGCCCGGCCAAAGAGATCGTCGCGAACGTCGATTCGTTTTTCTTTTTTGTCTCAAAGGAAACGGAGTGTTTAGAAAGCGTTGCCTATTGTTACCTTGATGACGACTCAATGATTGACGATGGGGTCGTTCAGGTTCGTTGTATCGAAATAGGTGAATATTCAATGGTACGCACATTGTTTGACAATGAACGCCGGCAGATTTTATCCCAGTAGTTGGTGTAGTCCAATTTTCAACTCTCGGGATCTTAAGTAACTAATAGAATACGGATGTCTATGCAATTTTATGTTTTAAGAAATAGAACCTATGAAAATATATATATTATATTATATTTCTATACGTTGTATGAATTTTGTCGACTCTCTCTTAAATTTTCCAAAAATACGTAAACATTCGTAATGAATATATGAATGTCAAATATATATATATATAATGTTGAACTTTAGACTTTTGAGTTTGAGCCTGTAAAGAGATGCAAGTTCAATTAATAAAATCAAAAGGAAAAATGCAACTGTGAAAATTCCAGAACACTGACCAACATAAATTTCCACCATTTGATATTATGGTACTTTCTACGTCCATTCCCGAGATACACAATCCCATTCGTTCTTAATTTTCTCGAAAATTTTCATCCATTATGAAAGGATAGACGGTACTGAGAAACACAAGGAAACACGGTACTGTATTTGTAATTTGTCTAACAACCATTTCGCAAAGTTGCAAAGCAACAAGGAAACCCACTCTCGAACTTATGAAAGAAACATCTCACGCGACATCGTCGCGATTGATTTTGAATGCGGAATTTTACAACGAACAAACAAGGTTGGACCGCGGCGAACCAGTGACTCGCGAGCGATCTTTGTTAGTGATATCCTATCTGACGTCGAATCGGACGAAGGGGGGTTATTATCGAGTTAACTCAAACGAACGGCCGACTATCAAGTCAAATATGGAGTTCACCTTCTAGTTTTCAATACAATTCCTCCCTTTCCGTACGATTTCTTCTCTGTAACTCCGTTCGAAAGTATCGGCGGAAATCGTGCTTTGACAGAGTGTTTCGAGAAAGGATGATGGAAGGTAAGAGACTTACTCCGCAGAGAAGAATGTCTTACGATGCTGGACGACGAAAGAATTATTCCGCAAAAGAATATTTTGAAAGGAATCGGTTCCTTGTAAGCACTTTGTGCAAATCGAGTCGAGAGTTCTCGTTGAAAGGATTTCGAAGAGGGAAGGAATTATTCTTCCGAGGTATCGGAGATGTTCGAAAGCGATTACACTTTTAATAAGTTCGCGATGGTAAAGGACGGCTCGCAGTATTGGGCGCGACACGATACGTCGAGGGAAAAATCGTGTAATATCTAATAATAACATTATCGTAACGTTACGTTATCTGATAATCCGATCGAAATGTAGAGTTATATATCGGAAATGAAATTCATACATGCAATGTAGTCTAATCAAGCTAATTCATTTTGTAAGTTTAAGATATATTTGTTAAAAAAGGAGAATCCTAGCTCGGAAATATATATATCGTACTATAACATTAGTGCCACTAAAAATAGTATTATATTTCAGCCAATGTTCTATTCTATATATTTCTGCATTTTATGCATCGCTAATAAATTGCATACATTTAATCCTTAAATTTACCATAATTATATGAACTATTTGTTACCGGGCATCTACATTCCAGCTACAATAGTCCAAGAGTTAAGTAAACTAAAACCGAAACAGCAAGGAATTCAATTCCATCCAGCGAATTTCACGTGTTATCCAAAGACAATCAACCCGCTAGTACAAAGATCTCTGCTCATCATCCGCCGAAGCGTGAACCGCCAAGTTTCCCTATCGACCACATTCCCCTGCGATAACGAAAGCGGCGTTAACCAGTAGCGTGCCCGTGTAACCGTATAATATTCCACTAGCGGT